TTCTTTTTCAGTGTGTAATGGCTACATATGGAAGCATTGCTTTGCTGATTTTATACTTCAAGTTAAGGTCCAAAAAAACTCCAGCTGTGAAAGCAACATGAAAAGTAAGGAGTTGACATTTAAAAGTTTATATCTTAGCCATTTTGAAGTTACAGTATTTTTCCCTGGCTATAAAAGTAAATCATTGTCACGATGCAAAATTTATTACATACAAGAAAAAAATAAAGAGAAAAATATTACTCATATCCCATTACCCTGACAATTTTAGTTGCCATTTTGGTTTAGCTCTTTTTTGTATATTTTATTTGATTTCCATTGGCTATAACTACAGATTGAAGTAGGGTAAGGATTATAAATGTCTTATAATAGGTGTGTTCTCTATAATTTAATGCGTAAGTGCTGTGGGTATATGATTTATTTTCAGAGGAAATGTGTCTCCTATTAGATTTTGTTTTAATATAAATAACATTACAATTAATAATGTAATGTTATTACATTATATATGAAGTCTACATCTATGATTGTTTCTTAGGCTGAAGTTTGTTTCTCAAAGAGTTCTGGGACATCCTGCTTTTTAAGAGGTTGTCTCTCTTGCCCCAGCCAAAGCTGAATAATATTAGTTTGGGGGTTTTGTTAATTTGTTGAATAAAAATAATCTGTCTTTTTATGAAGCTGTACATTTTTTTTGTATTTGCTTACCATTTGTATTTTTCTTAACATTCTTTTTCATGTGCTTTTCTCATTTAATAATTGGGACGTTTGTCTTTGTGAAGATCTATTTCTCTCATATAAACTCTATGTAATAATTATTAACCAACTTTTTAAATCAATTGCAAATATATCTGGGTTTTTGCTAGTGTGCTAGTTTCAAGGTGTCCTTTAAGTCATTTTTTATTTTTCAATTAAAATTGACATATATTATATTCGTTTCAGGCATACATCCCAGGGATGGGATATTATATAACTCACTAAGTGATCATCCTAGGAATCCATACACTATACATAGTGATTAGAATATACTCCCTTTGCAGTACTTTGCATCCCCGTGACTATTCTGTAACAACCACTTTGTACCTCTAATCCCTTCATCTTTTTCATCCTCCTCCCTTCCATCTGGCAAACATCAAAATGTTCTCCTTATCTATGAGTCAGTTTCTGTTCCACGTTTTTACTTTGTTTTTTAGATTCAGTCATTGATATGTATTTATTGCCATTTTATTGTTCACATTTTTTATCTTTTTTAAAATTTCTTACAGAGGACTCCTTAACATATTATGTAATACTGATTCTGGTTTGGTGGTGAAGAACTACTTTAGCTTTTTCTTGCTGGAAAGCTCTTTATATGTCCTTCAATTCTAAATGATAGCTTTGCTAGGTAGAGTAATCTTGGTTGTAGGTCTTGCTATTCACCACTTTGAATATTTCTTGCCACTCTCTTCTGGTCTGCATAGTTTCTGTTGAGAAATCAGCTGATAGTCATATGGGTACTCCCTTGTAGGTAACTGACTTTTTTCTCCTGCTGCTTTTCAGTGTTGAGAAATTAGCAGACAGCCTTATGGAAACTCCTTTGTAGGTAACTACTTTTCTCTTGCTACTTTTAAGATTCTCTCGCTACTTTTAAGATTCTCTCTTTGTTTTTAACCTTTTGTATTTTAATTATGATGTGTCTTGGTATGTCTTGGTGTGGGCCTCTTTGGGTTCATCTTGTTTGGAACTGCACTTCCTGGACTTGTATGTGTATTTCCTTCACTGGGTAAGGGAATTTTTCTGTCATTTTTTCAAATAGGTTTTCAATCTCTCTTGTTCTCTTCCTTCCTACGGCACCCCCATGATGTGAATGTTGATACACTTGAAGTTGTCCCAGAGGCTCCTTATAATGTCATTTTTTTTTTATTCTACTTTATTTTTGCTGTTCTGATTGCATGTTTTTTGCTTCCTTCGATTTCAAATCACTGATTTATTTCTTGGCTTCATCTTCTCTATTGTAACTACCTGTAAATTACTCATTTCAGTTCATTTATCCTTCATTTCTAACTAGTACTTTTTTTTAATATATTTTTTATTGACTTCAGAGAGGAAGAAGAGGAAGACAGAGATAGAAACATCAATGATGAGAGAGAATCATTGATCAGCTGCCTCCTGCCTGCCCCACACTGGGGATCAAGCTCACAACCCCGGCATGTGCCTTGACTAGGAATCGAACCATGACCTTTTGGTTCATAGGTCAATGTTCAACCACTGAGCCACGCCGGCCAGGCTCTGACTAGTTCTTTTTATTTCAGAGAGGAAAGGAGAGGGAGAGAGATATAGAAACATCAATGATGAGAGAGAATCGTTGATCAGCTGCCTCCTGCACGCCCCCCACTGGGGATTGAGCCTGCAACCCAGGCATGTGCCCTTGACCGGAATCGAACCTGGGTCCCTTCAGTCCACAGGCCAGTGCTCTATCCAATGAGCTAAACCAGCTAGGGCCTGACTGGTTCTTTTTAATGGTTTCCATGCCCTTTTTTATGCTGTTGAAGTTCCAAGTTCATTGAACGTTGTTATAACCAGTATTTTGAACTCTGCATCTAATAGATTGCTTGTCTCCATTTTGTTTAGTTATTTTTCTGGAGTTTTGTTCTGTTCTGTCATTTGGGACACATTTCTTTGTCTTCTGATACTGGTAGCTTCTTTGTATTTGTTTCTATGAATTAGGTAGAGCTGCTTCATAGAGAGGCCTTATGTACTAGGTGTTCTGCAGAATCCAGTGGCACAGCTTCCCCAGTCACCCAAGCTGGGCACTCCAGGTGCACTCCCATGTGGGCTATGTACACCTTCCTGTTGCAGTTGAGCCTTCATTGCTGTTGGCACATCAATGGGAGGGACTTACCCTGCAGCCCAATTGTCTGCAAGGACTCGCTGCAACTACCAACCACCATGGAGGATTAGCTGTGCTGGGACCCGCCCCACAGAGCAGGACTTACTTCAGTGGGGCTCTAGTTCCCACTGAGTCGGCCTCCTTTATTTATTTATTTATTCTTAATATATTTTTATTGACTTCAGAGAGGGAGAGGGAGAGAGATAGAAACATCAGTGGTGAGAGAGAATCATTGATCAGCTGCCTCCTGCATGCTCCCTATTGGGGATTGAGCCCGCCACCCGGGCATGTGCCCTTGACCGGAATTGAACCTGGGACCCTTTGGTCTACAGGCCGATGCTCTATCCACTGAGCCAAAACAAATAGGACCGAGTCTGCCTCTTAAGTGTGTTGCTTGTGAAAGTGGTTGGGTGGTGCTTCCTCATGGTCTAAAGCTGCCTATTGGATGTGCTGAGTCTGGGGTCTTCAGAGAAGTGCAGGCCAAGGTCAGCCACTGCCTGTATTCTGACTGCCACCTGTTTTCTGCCTGGGGCCACCTGGCATGAGTTGCAATCTGCAAATGGCTATTTGTGTTGGTCTTGGAGGTGCCCAGGTGAGACCAAGCTGCAAACGAAGGGTGGCTCCTGCTAGTGCTGGCTTGGGACCACTTAGTGAGAGATACAGGGCACACTGAGGCCAGATGCTGCTCATTTGAGATATTTCAGCAAAGTCTGAAGCATGAGCCACGACATGCCATTTTCAGGGAAAAGACCCTGGAAACAGCTTTGGTGGGCCTTCTAGTTGGGTAGGGCAGGTCTTGAGGAATCACCAGGGCAAGGCAAACAGTGTGAGTCAGGTTGATGGAGACTCAGATATGGTCCCCGTCTGCTGGCTTGCTTGGGGGAGGGCTCAGAAAAGGAACAATGGCCTCTGCCAGCACTTTTTTCTGACAGAAAGTTGCCTCGCTCTCACCTTGATCCCGACAATTCATTTCCTCCCCATATGTCCCTGGTCTTTCAAGCTGCTGTCCTAGTACTGGAGTTCCAAGGGAGAGTCAGAGTAAATCCATGTGCAGGCCCTTTAAGAGCAACTGCTTGGCCCAGCCTGTTAGCTCAATGGTTAGAGCGTTGGCTGGTGGACTATAGGGTGGCAGGTTCGATTGTTGTCAAGGGCTTATACCTTGGTTGTAGGCTCCATCCCTGGGCCTGATTGGGAAGCAACCAATCAATGTCTTTCTCTCTCTCACACTGGTGTTGCTTTCTCTACTCCTCCTTTCCACACTCTAAAAATCAGTGGAAAAAATATCAAGTGAGGATTAAAAAAAGAGGAACTGCTCTTAATTCCTTAGTTGTAAGACTTTCATTTAGCTAGTTTTCAGATTGTTGTTCGGTAGTTTAGTTGTAGTTTCGATGTGGTTTCAAATTTTTATATAAGCAGCTCTATCTTTTCCTTAAATCCCCATAGACTTCATTTGCTCCCAGCCCCCATTTACCTATGCTTGAGTGAATAAATATTTGTGTTGGCAATAAATGTGCAAAAAACCCCAAATCCAGATCTTTTTCCAATGTAGCTTCCCACCGAATCCCTCTGCTCTTAAGAGCTTTTCTAATCTTTAGGAGATTGAATATCCAAGAATGCAAATGTAGTATTATGCTCAATTTTCCATATTAGGTACCTCCTAACTCTGGGAGGGTAGTTGTAGCCCCATTATACAAATGGAGAAGTTGTCTCAGTTATTAAATAACAGATACATAATAGATAACATACCTGTTTTCTACTGTTTAAAATGTTACTTTATATACTTGACTTTGCCAATAGCCTACTTTTAGGATCATACTGAATTGTTGGCAGCTCTTTTGTTAAAGGTGGAGTGTTAGGTTAAATTGTATTAAGCTGAGATAAACCTTAATTTTGGGAGTTAGACTCCTTTGAAAATTTGATGTGAATTTGCATTCAATTTCAAGGGGTTTTGGTTCATGGATAGTCCTATACTGATAATTTGCTGAATGTCTTAAAAGTAGAATTGAACATGATTGTGTCTAAACTAAACTATTTTTGCTTTGCTTATAGGATTATAAACTGTACCTCATCTGTTAATTTCCCATGCCTGGAGAAGCTAATGTCAACTCATCATGTGATACTCAATTTGTACAATAAATTATGAACCTGGAAAAGCTGGTTGTCTTTATTTACAAGATATCAAAAATATAAAAACTGTACAAAATGCAACAAAGGCAAAAACTGGCAGTGACTTGGTCTGAATTTTAGTTTCCCAAAGCAAGGCTCAGTACTGGAGGTAAGCAACTGAAATGTCTGTCTGACTTCAAGTGTACAAGGTTGTGTATAGCCATTTTAGCTGAAGTAGAACATGGAAGCTAAATTTCTTCACTTGATTTCTAGAGTGGGTACACTCAGCATCTAACAAGTGTAAATTCAGATGTCAGTGGGTAGCTGTACTTCATCTAAATGAATTGTAGTTCATCTAAATGAATTGTAGTTCACCCTACCCAGTTACATACATTCCACTAGTCATAGCTATGCAAAAACGTTAGATCATTTAACATAATACTTGAGTGCCATACAGTAACTACATTTTTACAGCAGAAACATGCTCATAGAATTCTTCAGCTAAAATTCAAGATGGTGGTATATTACTCAATTTGAATCTTGAAGCAGGATGAATTGTTGAAATCAATTGGGGGTTTTTCTAAACATAATAAATTAAAATAGCGTTTGAACAGAAAATGCATAGTTTCCACACATTCCAAAGCACCATAAATGTCCCCTCCACAAACCTAATACCTCTTATTCAACTAAACAGAAATTAGTTAAATGCAGTTGCTATAGAAACGTGGAACTCTCCTGTTCAGATTTTCCAAGCAGCATACTTCCAGATCCATATAGACAAACATTCTTTGTAGCTTAAATTAATCACTGAGGTATTTGCTTTTAGTCTCCCTTTTTCAAACAGTAGCTTCCAGAGGTCTTTAATACCGATGGTTTATTGCGGACTATAAGCTCCTGCAGCTAGAACCAAGTTTCTTCGAGTAAAATGGAGATGTACAACTGGTGTTGATTTGGTCATATATGTTCCCAACAGTAACTCCTGTGAGTTCTCAGGTAAATTTATATGCCCAGTGGCTGTAGTAAAGTCATCAGTCTCTAAATCTTCAAATGCTTTGACAGCATCCCATAACCGGACTGTATTATCCATTGAACCTAAGGGAAAGTCAAAGGAAACCATTTAGTAGCATCTACCGTATTTGGCTGCTGACATTTTGCCAAGTACACTTTATATGTTTACTGTATATTTCTGGTGAAAAATCTAAACCTGATTAACAACTCTATTCCTTCTAAAGGAGCATTTCAAGCAGTTTAATGTGAGAGGTCAATATACATGTAGAGTGATACTGTGGAATCATGGCTAAGGAGAAGCAAAGCCTAAAGCAGCAGGACTTAATTTTGCAATTGTCAACACTCATTGTTTCCTGTTAACGCACCATTTACCCTTTACCACAAAGCCATTTCTAGTTATTTACCTGATGCCAAAATTTCACCATCTCTACTAAACCTAAGTGAACAGACTGTATCGGTGTGGCCTTTTAATTCTCCAACCATCAAACCATGTCCAATATCCCAAAGGAGTACTCTGCCATCTGTTGCTCCTGTAGCCAGGAATCTCCCATTGGGAGAAAATGTCAAGGAATGAATTGGTCCCTAGAAAAGAAGTTCATGGAAAGAATCAATAGTAGAGCTAAAAATATTTAAGGAAATAAGACAAAGAATTTTTAGTGGTATAAATAGTATCTTTAGAATATGTGTATCATTGGTTTGTTTTTAAAATATTTTTCTCAAAAGCAGCCTTGTGTGCTGGAATAATGAAGGTGTACATAAAAATACCTTGTGTCCAGTGAAGATCCTTACACAGTTCCCATTCAAGACATCCCAGAGCCGCACAGTTCTGTCTGCAGAGCCCGTAGCAACATAATTAGAATTTGGATGGAATCTGGTACAATTTACATCAGCAAGATGGCCAGCAAATATCCTTAAAGGCTGATAGTGGTCTGTGGCCCAGAGCCTTTTTAAAAATTTATTAAAAGCAAAAGATGATAATTAGTTAACTACGAAATGCCACAATTATCCAAAGTAAATACCCATGTGAAATATTAGTTCCAAATGAGTCCCTCTCACCTGAAGGAAAGACGGAATGATTGAGACTAGCATTCTTAAGAAAAATGAAGTTGATCTGGTACAAACATTTTATAATTGAGTCCTCTCCTCTTCCTGCTCCCCCTCCACCCTTCTATCCCATCCAACTCCTAGTCTAACTCATAGGAAAGCTTTAGCCACCACAAAGTTTCTAACCTGATCTACTTCATCCTGAACTTTAAAGGAGATGACAGGGAAACAGGTGCTACAGTAGTAGTGAAAGACAAGGTTAAACAGCTAATTTTAAAGAAGAGAAAAGTGGAAAATATATTTTAAAAACTACCTAAAAAAAAGTTGTAAACAGCTGATGATAGGCAGGGAAGGTGTTAATAAGCTAACTTGAGGAAGAAAAAGGACTTAAAACTCTTCATATAGATATAATTATAGAATATTAATATTCTTCCCAAATTCATTTTCAAATGAGCTATAAATGCTGACATTCTCAAAAAGTTGATCCAGAATAATAGAAATGAAAATGAGTTTGGCTGGAGTTTGTAATTCCCAACAAGGAACCATTCTGTTCTTGAATAACCCAGTTATAAGACCGTAATGTACTTACCGAGCTACTCGGTCATGGCCCCCAGATACAAAATAATATCCATATGGAGAAAACTGTGTGTCCCAAACTGGATAGTTGTGTCCTTTATATCCCACCAAGCAAGTAAATGTTTGAAGACTCCACAATCTAACAGTTCCATCCTCTGAAGAGGAAAGCAGATAGTTCCTGAGAGAAGAGAATATATTTGATTCCCAGAATAACTTAGTTACCTGTCCAGTTTCTGTACATTTTAATATCTACATATATGCAAAGTGTCCCTCTAGGATTTTGACCAGTTCTATCACTCGCTATGATATGCGCTGACCCCCAGGGGGCGGTGCGGAACAAAGAAAAGCCCCAGCTGGCAGCCTGGGAAGGGAGGCCCCAGCCAGCAGCCAGAAGGCCCAATCAGCCCTGATCATCAGCCAGCCGTAGGGACCCTACCCATGCACAAATTTCGTGTACTGGGCCTCTAGTATTAAATATGCTGACATGCTACATCTTATTTCTAATTTATACATGGTATTCACAGTAGGTATAAGTACTAAACAAACTAATGTTAGCCGTGATATTCCACAACTGAGCACCTACAGAATCAAATTTATTTTTTAAAAAAACTCAGTTTTTGATTTTAAAATGAAAATGCTATTTTCCTATCCTGTGTGAGTTTTAAAAGAATTTAAAAGGAATTATCTTTTTGACACACAGGCAAATACAAAAACACTAGGCACATGAGTAATCATCTACCTTTTTTAGGGATAAATACAAAAGCTTAACTATTCCAAGTATTATGGTTTTGGCAGAAATCAAAAGTTTCAAGTAAAAATGTATCATCCTGCTAAACCCTATCAAACAACAAAAACCTCATTCTCAAAGGCTCATAAAGATGAAAATCTTGATGGATTAAAAGCTAATATCTACCCAAGTAAGATACAGATGGTATGAATACAACATACCTTTCCATTTCTATGGAATGTCAGATCATGAGAAATAAGCAAATACCTATTTGTAGGTTACAAATTTCCTTTTCAGTATTCTCTTAGTCCTTTTGATTGTACAAAGATATAAATCTTCAATTAATAGCTAACAAGCCTTTAATCTCAAGAATCTTATAAATTTAGAGATGATGGAAGACAGCATTAGCCACAAACCCAAAGTAGAAACCCAAAGAATCAATTCAAATTAAGGGTTATACTAAACTAAAACTAATTTTTAAAACCAGCAAACCCTGAAGTCTATAAATTTGGGTATACATTAAGTTGCTATCTTTTACAGCCAGGATGAATTAGCAAATGGCAAGATCTAAAAGATAATGATTGACAGGCAACCATAAGATTTTTCTAACAAAATTTCCTAACATTTGTAAGTTTCCAGTAAACTTTTATATAATTTCAATATAATACAGCAGTACTTAATTTTTACTGTTTATACTTTACCTATCTGGACTGAAGCTGGCTCCATAGACAGGCCCGCTGTGACCATACAAGATCTTTAATTCGCTTGCTGTTTTCTCATCCATGATTCTTTCTAAGACATCATCTGATTCTTTGTCTATGAGGCTAAGATCTAAAATGGTCCAGAAATACTGATTTTTAAAAGTACATTCATTAAAACATTTTAAGGAAATCACTTTACAGTTCAGAAGAAGGTTTGAACAGTTCTTCTGGCATACCACCCACTGTGCTAATGCCTCTAAATTAGGTGAAACTATTCCAGTATATAGCAGAGAAAACTGAAGTTTAGAAGAGTTAATAATTTGCCAGAGTGCACATAGCTATTCAATGTTGGATCTAAGACTGAAACTCAAGTTATCCACTATATCACAATGTTTCACAAAAATGAAAGCTATGGAAAAATTATTTAAAAATGTATTACCTTGTTTAATAGGATAGCAAGGAACTCTTTAAAATGAAGTCCTGATTTTTTTTTAAAAAAATTCACAATCATAAAATACCAGATTTAAAAAATTTTTTTTTTTTAGGGAAAATGTCAGATTTTTAACCTTAAGTTTTCTAGCATATTCCCCTCATTCTACAAAGAAAAAAATTGAGGCCCAGAGAAATTAAACTAGTCTAGTACTCCTGTCTCCTGATTGCCACTCCAATGCACTTATCACTATTGGGAAATGTTAGCATTTTGAGTTCATGTAAAATCAAGTGAAAGTCAGCTAAGATCACAATCTCTGGTATATATTCCATGGGAATCAAGACTGGTGTAAACTAACTAAGAGTTCACAACCTGACAGGTTCATTTCAGTTACCTGCTGCTTGTTTGACACTACGAAGCTTTTTGGGAGTCACAGACCACACTCTGACAGTTGAATCTGCAAAACCTCCAGCAATCAAACTAGAATCATCAGTGACATCCACTGCAGTAAGGCCCTGCCAAGGGAAAAAAAAGGCTTTATACTAAACAATACTGTTTTAGGGAGGCGAAAATTACAGTCACACCTTAGAGAATAAATAGTAATAACTACTGCCCTGGCCAGTGTGGCAGTTGGTTGTGCATCATCCTGTACACTGAAAGGTTGCTATTTTGATTGCTGGTCAGGCTTCTGCCCAGGTTTCGGGCTTAATCCCCAGTAAGGGGCCTGCAGAAGGCACCAATGTTTCATTCTCACATTGATGTTTCTCTCTCTCCCTAAAAATCAATTTTACAATTTTTAAAAAATAATAATGATAGCTATTTTTCTCATATAAAAGATCATTTGAGATTTCATTCTCCTATGAAACCAACTGTCTGAAATCACTTACTTTTAGAACAGTGGTTCTCAACCTTCCTAATGCCATGACCCTTTAATATAGTTCCTCATGTTGTGGTGACCCCCAACCATAAAATTATTTTCGTTGCTACTTCATAACTGTAATTTTGCTACTGTTATGAATCACAATGTAAATATCTGATATGTAGGATGTACTTTCATTGTTACAAATTGAACATAATTAAAGCATAGTGATTAATCACAAAAACAATATGTAATTATATATGTGTTTTCCGATGGTCTTAGGCGACCCCTGTGAAAGGGTCGTTCGACCCCCCAAAGGGGTCGCGACCCACAGGTTGAGAACCGCTGTTTTAGAACATGCTATCATTTACCCCTTTTTGCCCTCCAAATTTGGTGTATGATATGAAGCAAATGTTAATCATTTTTGCACTTTACTAAATATATCCTCAGCAGCCTATTTTAAAGAATCTCTACAGAGACATGTGAAATTCTTAAAAAACACTAAGTTTATATAAGTACTTAAATCAAATTCAATAGAGATGAACTAGTTCCCTCTTCCTGAAAGGCTAGCAGAAGAATTCTGATCAGTGAAACCACGGGCACATGTACGCAGGATTCTCGTATCTACAAGTTACTAAAGTTCTTTTAAACATTGCCTTCTATCTATTCCTCTCCTTTCTTAATAGGTGTCTTTAAACTGTATTTATATCAAGAATTTAAATAATAAAACTCCATTTTAATTAACACATTTCTTTTAAAAGTATAGTACCATTTTTGCATGATTTTCCAGGAAGAAACTGCCCTATTATTTTACCAACCTGGTAAGCATTGAGGAATGTATAGAAACAAATGGAAGGTAAACAGTCGGGCCCAAGGCGCACCCGTTTGGTGGTTTCTTTCATATTCATTATCTTATCCAGCTTATCTGAATCTTTCAACTCAGGAAGAGGGATTCTATGAAAGAAAAACAGACTGAAAATTACTCTATTAAGAAACCAGAACCCTGTAAAGCATATCAACTTATACTTTCACACATGTTCCTGAGGTTTTTTCCTCACCTGTTTTGAGGTGGAGCATTGGGATCCTGTTTTTTGCTTTTGGATCCAATACTATCTTTTTTAGGCTTCTTCTTTTTAGGTTTTCCTTCTTCATTTTCTCCTTCTTCATCCTCATCATCCAAAGGCACTTCAATTTCTGGCTCTTTTAATAAACCAAAAAATACCTACAAATCAAGAGCCAACATTTTAAAAATTATTTTTTGTTCATTAGTACATCTTTTTCGTATCTTGACAGGATGAATCACAACTACAAATGTAGTACTTTATACCCTGAAGCAGATTCTGTACTTATCAACCCAATAGCCAATTTCCCGAACTTCTTCCTTACTAACAGAACCCTGATTTATTGGAGCAGCAATATGATCAGTTAAATAATTTCTGTTCCTGGGCTCCCATGCAGCTAGGAATGGCCATATAATGTCATCCTGGCCAACAAATATGCACACAAATATGCAGGGTAGAGTTTTAGAAAAAAATACTATTTCCTGATTACAAAAAAGAAAAGGGAGAGATTCAGCAGGGATATGCCTTTTGCCCCCCGCCCCTCCCGCCGCCTTCCTGGAATGCAGCTGCAAGGCTGGAGCTCCAATGGCCATCTGTGAGCACAAAGAAGAGAGTTACATTTTAAAGATGGTGAAGCAGAAACTAGGAGCCAGGGTCCTTAATGGCGCGTGGAGCCCTCATGCCAGCCCAGGAGGGCTTTCCTCTGTAATATCATTTTATGTGAGAGAAAAACCCTTCATTGTTTCAGCCTCTACAGTCAGGGTTCTGTTAAATGCAACCATTCCCCAATTCTCAAAAAACTTAGTAATAGTGTAAAATAAATCCCAAACTAGCTGTAAGAAAAATGTGTAGATGGAAATGCTACAATTTTTCATAATCTGTATTATATAGTTCTTAGGTTTATTCCCATACCTTGGATTTGTTTGCCTCTCGTTTAGCCTCTCCTGCCAAACTTCCCACCATCGCATCTATCTGTTGCTTACTACGCGGCATCCCATCAAAGATGTCAATGTAGAGGTGCTCCTGAACTATGTTCCATATCTGATTGTTCTGTTTCTCCTGAAGATGCCTCTTCAAGAGTTGGTACGAGTCACGGGAAATACGCAGAACAAATTTACTTGTTCGAAAATCCAACATGGTCTCATTCCCTTTCATGTGTTCCTTTTTGGTAAGACTAGATAATACTCGTAGGTCATCTTGGTAATAACATTCCTGATCTCCATGGAACCTGTTTCAGTGATTTTAAAAAGTCATTTTTCAATGTAATCATTAAGGGATCTGCCTCTCCCCCATATATTTATAAACATACCAGAATATACTCAACGTGTCTGAATAATCCTGGACTAAGCTGTAGGATCAGAAGTGACTTATTTCAAAATTACATTTCAGTTTCTGAATTCATCCTAAAAATTACTAATTTAACTCTCTAATGAAATGTAGCATACCATAAACATTTTAAGAGAATTTGAAATAAATAACAAATGAATAAACATTAAGATATCCACCATTGGTAGGTAAGTCTCTTCTGAATGCCACCATTGGTAGACATTTAAAAATGTTAGAATCTTTGCTTTACTAAATTTTATGTTCTCTTAAAAACCCACTTTAAAAAATTTCTTTATGAAATATTGCAAACATATACAGAAGTAGAAATTAGTATAATGAATTCAATGAACCTATCATCCAGCCTTTCAACAATAATCAATGAATGGCTTTCTCATAAAACCCTCCATTTTTAATGATTTCTTATATTCTTAATACCAAACATATTTGTTAAACATATCAGTACTTTAATAATATGACTATAGGACAAACTTGATGTCAAAGAACGAGCACTTCCATTTACTCCCCATTATCAAAGCAATTAAATAAAGCTTATAGCTTTGGTAACAATTTAAATGTATTTTTGTTTATACAAATCTTTATTTTCCTAATAAAGTAAAATTAAAGAACATATATTTGGCATTCACTAAGCAGCAAGTAATGCAAAAACATTTAGAAAACAATGAACATAAGATATCATGACCCTAGCTGAGATAGACACATATTCAAAAGATTCCTAAACTGTTACCTGTGTTACCCTATTATGACTCATCAAGACATGAACCAAGGGTTCTAAAATTTAAATGAAAATAAAAATCTCAGCCTCTTAGTGGTTGTATCAGTCACTGTTCATAACCTCATCTGAGCACTGGATCCAGGGAAGGGCTGAGACTGTAACAAGGAGACAGGGAGTACCCTAGGATATTCCAGCTTCCTGTGTGAGATTGCTATACCATGAGAAAGGAAGAAGTTTATTGATGACAATACTGTAAGAAAAATTAGCTTAGGGTAGGAGTCCTATCACCATCAGCCTTCCCAAAAAAACTGAACTACAAACATTTGCTTTATGTCTTCTACTAGCACCATGGAATAATGAATGAATATAATGGCGTAGAAGCCAAGAGTCCCGAGTTTTATTATTTCTCTATTACCACTACCTGTGTTATCTAACAAGTCCTGGCTTGTAGGTCTATTGCTTGTACTAAAGAGCTCTCATTCAAACTTTTGAATATTGCCTCCTTCTTTTTTTTCTTTTTCTAAATGAAAACCTTTAGAAGATTTCAGTCAAGCTGCAGGATTCTCATATCATTGCCTCTTTTCTTAAACACTTCTTTTCTTTGGCTTCTATAACTCAACACTCTCCTGGTTTTCTTTCTACTTCTCTGGCCTCTCCTTTTATCTCTTCTACTTGGCCATCTCTTCTACTTCTATTATATTTCTTCTACTCCCAATGTCAGAGATCCTCAAGGCTCGGACCTAACCCTCTGATTTATTTCATACCCCTCCCAGACATTCTCATCCATATCCATCAATATTACACAAATTCCAATTTATGGTTCTAGTCCCTACCTCTCCTCTAAGCTCTAAAGTCTTATATATCATCCACCTATTAACTTGACATCCCTTAAAAAGTCAAAGGCATAGTGAAATCTGAACTCAAGACTTTTCCACAACCTGACAAACCCTTAGGAAAGTCATGGAAGGGTATTCTCTATCTCAGTGAAGGGCACCCCTATCCATCTGGGGGAGCCAGAAACCTAGGGGTTATCAATAATATCTTCATCTCCTTCACCTCCATATCCAATCCATCACCAAGTGCCTTACCAATATGTCCACCCCCTTTCACCAATACTACTACACTCTAGTCCAGTGTCCTCAACAGGTATGCTCCTGGCACTTGGGACAGAACAACTCTCTGCTAAGTGGGATTACCTGCACATATTAGAACATTTGGTATCCCTAAGTCACCTGCTCCTCCCCCCTAGTCACTATGACTACCCAAAACACATCCACACATTTTCCCAGTTGAGAAACACTACAATATCCTCCAAAACTGGTCAATCTATAGACACTCTGTACCCCCACCATCTGTTTTCCCCAATGCATATAGGTCCTTTCAAAATGCAAATCTAGTAATGACATGATCCTTCAATGGCTTCTTTAGCAGAGATGCCTCACTGTCTCCAAATACCCATTTTTCTTTCTCCCTCCACACTAGAACACCTGAATGGAACACATGTTGACCGAGCATAGTGACACCTAGATAAAGAGCAAGCACACTTCCTACCTCTCTGTAGACAGGTGTGACCGCTGAACTAATGACATAAAAAAAGAAGAAGTGCGGTAGCTTAGAACCATCCTGTGCCACGGGTGGAAGCTGCATGACAGGGATGGTAGGGCAACAAGATTGAGATGCCCAGATCCTTGCTAATCAAGGACTCCATACCAGCCCTAGACTGCCTAACTTCATGAGAGAAATAAGCTTTTATCGCCCTGACCGGTTTGGCTCAGTGGATAGAGCATTGGCCTGAGGACTGAAGGGTCCCGGGTTCGATTCCGGTCAGGGGCATGTACCTTGGTTGTGGGCACGTCCCCAGAAGGGAGTGTGCAGGAGGCAGCTGATCGATCTTTCTCTCTCATGGATATTTCTAACTCTCTATCCCTCTCCCTTCCTCTCTGTAAAAAATAAATAAAATATATTTTAAAAAGAAATAAGCTTTTATCATATTTAAGCCTCTATTTTGTTTGGGTTTTCAGTCACTCTCAGTCTAATTTAATCCTAATATAGCTTCCTGTTCTTTTTGGGTATTTTATTCCTGCCAGTATGTTCAAGTTTTCAGTGAATTTCAGCCAGATCTACTTCTATACAATACAATCCCCTACTGCTCTTAGAATAAACAAAGATCTTCAACCTGGCCCAAGAACCTGCCTATTCCAGCCGGTAACCAACTGTCCAGTTTCATGTTGTACCACTCACCACTCCATACTCCTCTTTAGCCACACTGCCCTTCTTTCATCTACCATGATATCTACTGCCGCAGAGCTTAGCTTTCACACATGTGTTTCCCTTCTCTTCATCTAGTTAACGCCTATCAAATCTTCAGATCTTACCTTTGGGAGCATCACTTCCCCTGGGAGCCTTCCATGACTTTCCTAACTAGATCAAACCCCCCTATTTTAGGCTGTCATAGCACCAGGTACCTCTCCTTCATAAAGTACTTTTTGAGTTGCAATCTAACATTTACCAGTATGTAATCACAGGTGAGTATATACTACACACACACACACACACACACACAGCTTCTCAAAGAATGATTTTGCTTCATTCTCATGTTGATTGTAGACTAATTCCAAGTACATGTGTACAAAGAGAGGATAAAAGAGTTGGGATAGCTCTGCCCGATGGCAGTCCAAGGAACATTCAATGAAGTGTTTCAGTCCACTGTAGTATTCTTCATACATTGTAGGGTCTCCTTGCTGATTGTAAGCTGACAGCACAGCACTGACATCTGGCTGGTCTTCCACAGCTACACTTCCAACTGTTTAAAAAAAACAGAAAACAGCTTTCAAAAAAATAACCTAATATATACCAAATGTCTAGAACTATTTGGCTAAGGTCCAGAGGTGACTAATGTTTGTCTCATGCTGTCCTGTACATCACAACTAAAATGAATGGATTTTAGAATCACAATATGAGAGTACAGTACTTCCTTGCCGCGGTTCTCACCCTGTGAGTCGCGACCCCTTTGGCGGTCGAACGACCCTTTCACAGGGGTCGCCAAAGACTATCGTGCATATCAGATATTTACATTATGATTCATAACAGTAGCAACATTACAGTTATGAGGTAGCAACGAAAATAATTTTATGGTTGGGGATCACAACATGAGGAACTGTATTTAAAGGGCCAGAAGGTTGAGAACCACTGTTTCAATGGGATTTTTACTGTTTGTCACCCATCCAAAAATCCTTCAGCTTGTTCATATCTTAAAACAGAATTTTTCCTTTCTTTCTTTCTTTCTTTCTTTTTTTTTTTGAGAATACATTTATTAAAGCTGGGGACAGTGAAGGAAGGGCTTACGACAGAAGAAGCAACAGGAGAGAGCCTAGGCCAGGCTGCTTTGGCTTACTGAAGAGTGAGAGAAAAGGGGGCCTTGGGGGCAGGTTCAGGGGGTTAGCCCTGGATGAGCTGCCACTGCCCCTGGTTGCAAGTCTCCTGAGGACCTTAGGAGAATTTAGGAGATGCACGCCTGTGGGGGAAGAAGAGGGGACAGGGAAAGGCATGGCTGTGGTCCGAAAAGAGTGTACCAAAACAGAATTGTCAGTACTGTGTAACTTTCTTTGTAACATCCTATCCTGTGTTAGCTTCATACGTATAAATCTCTCACTCCTGTAAGCATTTTAAGGGTGGGAAGGACATGCCTTATTTACATCTCCAAAAGATATACCTAAAACAATTTCCAGAACCACCATTTCAAGGCAGAAAACATGAGTATCTATATATGTAAAAGCCAAGTGACCTGAATGATAGAACGACCGGCACAACCGGTCACTATGATGCACACTGCAGGGGCCAACGAGACTGATTGAGGCCCTGATCAGCCCCTCCCAACCTCCTGTGGCCCCTCCCCCTGGCCAGCCGCCCCCGTCAGCTCCCCAACCCCAATCAGGGGTGGGGCCCTCAGGCCAACCTTCTCCATCCCCTCCCGACCCCCCCCCCCCACTGGCCCGCCCCAATCGGACCCCACCCATGCACGAATTTGTGCACCAGCCTCTAGTTCATTTATAATATAGCAGTACCAAGTAATGATTGAATCAGAGTTTGTTGGAAATTTTTAAGTTGCAATTAAAGTACTGTTATGCTGTTTACTGCACAAATGATATAAATTCTTTTGGTTACTCTGATGGCCTTTTCTTTTCCTCCATACCGGTTGGTTTCCGAGTTATGATCTAAAATATAGGTCAAGTTTCTGAAAAGATGAGAGATTGTAACAAAATGACCAACAACATAATTCACCCATCAGATAGTTCACTCACAAAATTCAGCATTCTGAAAAAATTCCTCTCACTCATACTTTTGCACATTTCCATTTATGGATCACAATGCTATGTGTTCATACTTCACTTCTGGCAATGCTGCAACGATTAGGTCTCAGAAACAGAGATTAATCTGGCTAGAAGCTCTGCAATGGATAATTTAATTCAACAAACATTTATTATGGGCTCCGGATCACTTTTGAGACCTTATGCTGCATGTGAGGTTTCCTGCATGAACTCTGTAAAAGCAGTTGCTGGGGAAAGGAAGGGGGCCCTCGGGTGCCAGGCATGGATATCTAGGCATAAACTTTTCAATGCCAGTCATTTTACATGCATTATAGCTGAGCCTCACAATAACCCACTTAATAGAGGGGGACACTCAACCTTAGGAAGAATAACTGTATCCGCATCACACAACTAAAGCAGCAGAGGCACCATCTGAACCCAGTCTGTCCGACGCCTGTTCCTAAACGAAGGGTTCTCAAACTTTCCCATACATCAATACCCCCTGGAAGCATCCATTCAAAAACTGCAGCTTCCCAGATCCACTACGTCTGAATCTGCATTCCCCCAAAGACTTAAAACACGTGGTAGTTAACCTGTATTTTGAAGAAAAGAAAAAACAACAACACTGGCTACACTGTGTTCCATCGCTCCCTGACTGTATAGTCCGGAGCAGGTCCCTCGGCTTCTCTTCTGCTCATCTCTAAAGCAGAGATAAATGCACACCTTTACCGTGGAACTGAGAATGAAGATACAGAACCTAAATATGTATGGTACCTAACGCACGCTGGTATGGAACTGTACAAAGACTGTCAGTGTTTATGCGGACCTGCCCAGGGCTCGAGCCCACATAAGCAGAAAGGGACCAAAAACCTGAAGGTCCCCGCTCCCGCGCGCACCTTCCCCGTGCGCCCCTTCCGCTCCGTAGCCCGCAGCCTCGGGTGGAACTGACAGCTCCACCGAGAGGGTTTGACTGCGCAGCCGGCGCGCTGGAGAAAGGGGCGGGCGTGCGGCCCTAGAGGCGGGCCCAGGAAATTCAAAACAAGCCCGCAGAGGTGCAGGCCCGCCA